CTCGCTGGCAGCCCGGTTCTGCCCCCACACCTCACTATTGCGCTTCCCCCCTTTGGTCTTCCTCCTTTTCGTTGACGTAATTTCTCCTCTGGTTTCTTTCTAGCGCTTTCGTTGTCATCCCATCCATCCCTCCACTTCTCACCCAGGTTTGCGCTTCCTACCTCCTCCTATTTCTCTCCATCGAAAGGATTCTGTCCTGAGACATGCCCCTCTCCTTGCCGCTCCCTTCCATCCTGCGAGGCTGCCAACTGCCCCAAATGCCCCTTTACCCTGCCCAGAAGGCCCAGTCGGGTGGCCTCACCACACAGGGCAACGCTGGGTGCGTCGGCCCAGGGGCCCCCAACTTGAGTGGGGAATGAAAGCTACCATCGATCCCGGCCCAGATACAAACTTAATTAAACTCATTTTGTGTAATGTACAAACTAGTTAACGGCCATTTAATTTATTTCGGCGTATATTACCCTCCAATTACAGCAGGGGCTGCAGTCAGCCAATTACCGCGCATTTAAGAGCCGGTAGTGACCAGAGGCTTAGGCTGGGGGACTGGCCACCAATGATGCAAGGGGCTTCTGTGCGCCAAGATTGCCCCCCCTGGCTCCTTGTCCCCGAGTTAGGCCTTGGGGCCCTGGAGCTTGACTGCTATGGGCAACCCAGGCTCGCAAGGCAGGCTGTACCTCCGGGAGCACTGGGTGGCTCCCAGCACCAGTCCGACTGCGCCCCAGCAGGTGGGGAGGTGAGTGGTATGAGGAGATGGGAGCTCCCCACCCAATCCCCCTGGAGGCTGAGTCGGGAAGCCCTTGGGCCCTTCCCACCATACTCCCAAGTCACTGGAAGAGTGAGTGTCCCTGCTGGCAGGACTGGGAGGGGGGGAGGGTGAGGCCCTCACAGGTGGTTCTCAGAGCTAGAGCAGCAGGGGCAGGAAGGTCGCCAAGTCCAGCCTCTGAGACTCTCGGGACTAGCTGACACTATGAAGGGGGTTGGAGATCAATGCAAAGTCCATCCTCCCCCAGCAGGGTGCAGGGAGGCAGGGCAGGGGTTCTGCAGGACCCTCTAGCCTGGACAGGGGCTGCCCCAGGCGTGGGAGTGCAGGGCACC